GTTTATTTATATTTGCGTGTGTGTCGGTATATGTGTGTGTATGTTCCGAGCGCATTTATCCGGGAGTTTCAGTTCGGGAACTAGAGATGCCAGGAATTTAAAGTTCTAAGGGTGGATCCCCTACTCACATGCGATCTGGCAAGTTGAAATTCAGCTTCCGCGCGCAAGTAAGCTTTATGTATGGCCAAGTGAAATTTTTGGTGCCTAAATTAATAACTTGGGAGCAAAGAGGGTAGGAAGCTGAAGTTATGGGAGAATGTTCATCGTCCGCATGTGTCTCATTTATAGACACGTAAAAGTTTTGGCTCGAAAATTGTTGATCAGGAGGCCAGGGAAGCTAGGAGGCTGAAATTTTAAGAGAATGTCCTTTGCCCAGTTATGACAACGCAAACTCAAATTCAGCCCTTCCTGCTTGCCTGGGTTTCATATACGGGCATCTGTAATTTTTGGTACAGAAGTTAACAACTCGGGAAGCGCACAAGGTAAGAATTCAAAATTTTATGAGAAAGTCCCTTGTCCAACTTGCAACATAATGAAAAATGGATGAAAAGAGCTTGGTTTTCAAGTTTTCTTGCTTGAGCCCACTTCCACAAATAGACTGATGTCATCATATCAGAGGAAAGAAAGCATGAAATTTGCGTTTTCGACAGTTTTTGTGCGAATAATGTCAAAAATAAGAAACGGCATGAAAAAGAAACTCAGCCATCTCGTTGTATTTTTAGGCATTTAGTCGGTATGAGCTCACGACCGAAACTCGAACAGTCGCGCTGATTTTACTTTAATATAATTTTTTTAAAAAAGGAAACTGCAAACAAAATTTTGTGAATAACGGAATACTCTATTTCAGGATCAGCTGCGCCGGAAGCGCCACCTGCTATCAAAAGTATAAAACATTTTCATTTCTGTTTTCTACAGTAGGGTAACCAACGGCAAGAAGCACCGAAGTTAAGCAGACTTTTTAAGATTTTGTATTTTTCAATTTTACTGTTCTTACTCTCCTTATATTACGCCTCCATTTTGTTATTATCAAATATTTATTGCTGAAATACTAATCGATTGGTCAGCTGCTACAAGAAAGTTCCATTAGCCAGTTTCCTTTCCCACCTTCGCTGTCAATTTCTCAAAGCTGACCAATTCAAAAAAAAAAACCGTTCTTTTGATGAGGTCGTAGAAGAACTAGGCAGTAAACCAAAAGGCATGGTTTGCGGCAATTTGAACTGCTAGCATTCACGACTTATATGATTTTTGCAGTGTGAAATAATCTTTTACA